CTCCCCTTAGCTCAAGGTCTAGATCCGCCATTGTTCAGTACGTCTCAGAAGAAAATTTGAAGTCAATGTGTTTTCCACTGTCTTGGTATCAAGAAAAATACAAAATATCCTGAGATCATCATATGTTTTATTCAGTTCAGCAAGGCAAAATTTTTTAATTTCTATGAACGAAACATGTCAAACATATTTTTTGCGCCTGAAATTGCGAACGACCACACAACTGCGTCGACCACACTTGTGCTGAACACCTCGCGAAGAGAATGCAATTTCTTTGGACATATCTCCGGTATCTTGTGGAAAAACAAATCGTCAATAATTTGGAAACAGTTAGGTATATTTGTCCGTGGATAATAGATGTGGATAATAGGCGGTACGCAAACTTAAGCGGGGAGGAAATTTCGCATGCCTCGCTAAATTTCAAGGGTCATTCAGCACGGACACTATTGAGTCTGCTCTACATAAATTTTAGTCAGAAATAAATGAATTAATGGTAACAGTTAATGAACAACAACTTTCTCTCAGCCTGCAGAATAACCTTCGTAAAAGCTATTGAAGTTATTGGCGTCGTTTTAAACTTTAATGAACTGGACATAAATTAGGGAACTCACAAGGGAGAATATACACCGTAGCGCTCCGAACCGGGAACGGAGGGGTTGCAACTGATTACGAGCGAAAAGGCATAACTTGCGGTTGAAACAAGCTCAGTATTAAACATTTGTAAGAAACATTTTAACTGGACTGAATCTGTATGGACTGCTTACGAACGATAAACCTTGTTCATTGTTAAGAAATCAGTATTTCATCAACTTACTCATCAACTTACTTATTGAACGGTGCTTTCATTATGGCGTCTCATAGGCGTCACTGATGAACACTGAGCCGAAACGTTAAACGTGCAAAAATTAAAGCGAGGGCTAAACGAGACGAAAAACGGTAGCAAATCAGTAACGAATAAACAACTAAGAGAAGAGAGATACAGTTATAAACTGCAGACTTACCTGAAGGGACTCAATCGATGAAAGCTACAGGTTCGCCTTGTAACCGCACATGCAACATGACCGACACCAGAGTGATGGGTGTGTCCCTTGAGACTTCGTTATATAGGTAATTAAAATTCACATCAATTGTGAGAAACATTCTTCGCTCACACTGAATTTTTTAAGATTGTTGTTCATTGATTAATTTGAATCAGCAATCGGGACAACAGATTGCGTTAACAAATTCTTGGTTGTCATAGCTTCCTGACTTGTAATAAATCTTGACGGGGTTTTAAATGGAACAATTCTTTTGACTTCGACCGACGGGTAATTTTAGGTGAGAAAGAAATGAAGAGAGAAAGAAAGTATTACACAGACGCATGCAGGCGTCGATACATTCTCTTTGTTTTCAACTGATTATTTACGCGTGTAAATCCAAGCNCGGGTAATTTTAGGTGAGAAAGAAATGAAGAGAGAAAGAAAGTATTACACAGACGCATGCAGGCGTCGATACATTCTCTTTGTTTTCAACTGATTATTTACGCGTGTAAATCCAAGCCGCTTATGGAAGTATGCGGTGTTTTTGTGAGTGTCGGGCGAATCAAAATTTGATTCAACCTTGATCTCAGGCGCTTTTTCCTTTGCCTCCCTCGTCATTGAGGCAAGAGATTTTTTCGAGAGGCACAAGAGAGAGAGCCTGTGGTCAAGGTTTAATTCAACTTGACGAGTAAAAGTATTTAAGAAACAGAAAACATGTACCGACTAACCCCCATGCTTACGGGGGGTGGTCCCTTACGAGAACGTAGACCATAATCGGTCAAAATTCTTCCTCATTAGCATATGGTACTGCAGAGACTTACCCCATGGATCAGGGCCCATCTAAAACCATATAGTAACTTTTAGTAGCCACAAAAAATGTAAGCTTTCCAAAGATATTCATTTAGAGTAATCATGGTTCGTTTCTGATAAAGTACAACGTCTTATTATCCAATTTCCGCTCCATTATCTTTCAAGCGGTTGCTTACGGGAGGTTAAAAACAAAAGAAAATTTCAAACTTTTAGCTTTAAAAGTGGTCGCGGTATCTAACGAGAGGTGGTCGCCTACAAGAGGTTCCAAATATAGTGATTTGACTTGAAGACTTTTGGTATTTTGGAAAATTGGTCGCTGAGGAAAGATGGTCGCAACCGAATTTAGTTGACTCGAGCCGTGAGAACAAGGTTCAGCCGCAGGCGCAGCCCTCGTCAGCTATCACGCGATATAAATCGAGAACGAATAATCTAATTGTTTAATAGAACAAAACAACCGTGCCAAGATTACCTACCGCTAGCTCTAAGGAAAAAGCCCCGGGAAGAGGGTTGCGGAGACTGTGGTAACGCGTATACGAATGCGAGCCTAATTAAGCTGCGCCCTCGTCAACTATCACGTGATAGAAATCGAGAGCGAATAATCTAATTGTTTAATAGAAACTCGATTTTAAACCAATCAGCCCGCGTATTTTCTTTGGGCTATTTCTAAATATATTATACTTTTTTCACATTCGTATACGCGTAACCACAGTCTCCGCAACCTTGTTCCCAGGGCTTTTTCCTTAGAGCGTCAGGTAATCTAGGCTCGGTTACCAAGTTTGTTGTTCGTTGACAACAAATGGCGTCGTTGATCACAAAATGGTAGCCATACCACATATTTGGCCGTACCTAGCCACAAAGGATCTAGAGAGCATTTTATTTGCGACTCATTGATAGAGAAAATATTATAGTAAATAGTACAAGCACCATGTCGACTATGATTAATGGGCAGTTGATTCTGGAAGAAGAATATGATGAGAACTACCAACCCACTGAGCAGGGTAAGCTAAAAAGGTTTTAGTAAATCGTTCACGTACATGAAGGGTTTTAGTCAGTAACGAATTGCTGAGAATGTTAGTGCCTTCTTTAAGTGCGCTTTAAGATAAATATAAATTCATTTCATATGACTGTGGAGCTCGAACAATCGGCAAGGCACGAAATAAAGGCTGCAAGCAAAAAAATGGTAATGGTCGGAGAAATGAACGACAAAAGCCTAATTAAGCTTATGTTTCATGACTGTAAGACTTTTAAAAATAAAAGAGGTATCGGTAGTTCCAAGTTATTTTGATAGTCTTCCATCAGCCTTTTTACTAAGCAGTTTAATGTAGCGGACTGTTTTTTCTATATTCAATTATTTCACAAGCCACAGATTTTATAGCGCTAATGATTGTACAGCTGTAAATGGGCATCTTCACTGATTGCACTCCAATAAAATGTACCATGCAGAAAACCAAGTGGAATAGAAGATTTTGTTACACAATTATTCAATCATCAATGCTAGCAGATAACATCATTATAGTCTGGGCAGCAACATGATTGTGTAGCTGCAGAAGCATGTCACCTACAGTAGGTGATATGCTTCGGGTAGTTGTTAATTGACCTTATGATACTTTGATTTTGATGGGAGGGGGATAGGGTGATCTGGCAATGGAATAGCTGTTTTAGTGTCATCCTGGCATCCATGAGGGATTGAGGGAATGGGTAAAAAATACTTCGAATCGCTAGTACATGATAATAAAACTGGAGATACGGTAAGTGCTGTCCTGATAGGCCACCTGGCTAAAACACAGTATTTCCTTCATGATGCAAAATCTTTTAAAAGGCTTGCACATGTAAAAGTGGTCTTTGCTGCTGCTTCCTCAATGTAGATACTTTTCATATATAGCATGCTTTGGTATATTGCTTTATGTTACAAAATGCTTTTCAAGCACACATATTTTTAGTTCCCTCAGTAAGGTCCATTTAAGTTATGCATAATTCTAGAATTTTTCTTTGCAGAGATATTTGAGTATGCACAGTCCATTGGTATAGATCCTATTAGAGAGAAAGATCTTCTGTTCATTGCACGGGAAGGAATTGTTGCTCCCTTACCAGCTGACTGGAAACCTTGGTGAGTACAACACAACTACTTCATTGTCATTAATACATTAATGTTAGGGAAACTTAAGTTCATTATAAGGTCACCTTCTTATTTAGCAACCCTGTTAATTATTTAACCAGGGTAGACTTTGTTGGCCAAGCCTCACTCTTCCGACTTGATGACTTCAATTTCTTACAGCCATCCTCTCATGTACAGTACTTGCAAACATTTTTATTTCTTTAAGAAAAATACATACACATTTGCAGCTTGGCACAGAACCTCAGAGAAAGAAAGGACAAACTCAGGTTTTGTGTTGTTAAGCCAGGCGGCAGTGGTTGCCTGTGACTGAGTGGCATGGCATGGACAAATTTCCAGATCATCCCTCCCCTCCCCCTCTGGGTTTGTGGATAAAAGTCAAGTGAAAATACATATAACTTTGTGGATAACATTGGTATCAAGGATGATTTTTTTTGTCATTTCAATAGTCTGAAACAAATTCTCCCAACTAGAACCATGATGTGGATGGAAGCTGGGGAGGGAAATTAAATTGTAACTCAATGACCCAATCCTTTGTATGATTCACCAATAAATGTACAATGAACTTGAGATCTAGACTTGTTGATTACAGTTATTTACATATGATGTAAGTACCATGTTCATGTGTTAGTTAGATTGAAATGAAGATGCCAATTCATATTAAACATTGCTTTTCAGTCAAGATGCCAGTGGAGATATTTATTACTTCAACTTTCAAACTGGGGACAGTGTCTGGGATCATCCTTGTGATGACTACTACAGGAACATGGTTTTTGAAGAAAAGCGGAGAAGAACTGCCATGGGCACCTCATCAAAGAAAGAAATCAAGATTAAAGACAAAAAAGATGGTGGAAAAAAGAACAAAACATTAGAAGCACCAATAAAGCAGAAGGTAAGCATTGTACAAAAAAAAAATTCAGTGATGCAAGAATTGAATGCAAACACTGGAATCCCAATTCTTGATCACTTGATTTCTTAAACCTCCAACTAGCGCAAGCCAAAAGTTGTTTCCTTCAGACTTTTTTAACTGCAATTTGGCCACTGTATCTCATGGCATTTTTTTTAGTCAATGAGACACATCACTGATCTTTACTGAACTATACACATATTTAACATAACTACACCTGTTGAGTGTATACATTTATGTAGATTTCTATAAAATTGAATCCAAAATTTTTTAACAAAGCAAATGTGGGAGAAAAACTGGACATANCTTTGAAAAACAATGTGCTGGAAAAAAAACAAGGAAAATACTGCTTGATAGCTTTCATTCAAATGGTCAACACAGATGTAAAAGTTTGAACCAGCATGCCCAGTACCATAAATAAATAGTACCACGTGACACTTCTGCTGGAGAGCTTTCATTAAAATGGTTACACCTTAATAAAGGCTTCTGCACAGACTTGAAAGTTGAAACTGATGTTTTACAAATGTACATGTACATGTACATCATGGTATTAAACAGTACCTCAAGAAAATACTGCTCAATCATCCCACTAAGAGTTTTATCCAGAGGCTTAAAATAGCTCTTTTAATTGAATAATTCTCTTGCAGAGTGATTTTGGAAGACCAACTATTGATCTTGGTGTACACGACATAGCAGCACATGGTTATGAGGTGAGTTCAAATTGACAGAGAGTTATAAAACAGGTTTCAAGGATAATACCAAATACTGTTTACAATATATGAAATGTAACCTTCAGGATGCTCAGTGCTGTTGGCTGATATTCATATACGCTGTACATGTAAGTTACTAACTAGGCACCACAGCATATGACCATAATTCAAGACCTTTTCTGTTTTGTTTTTTTTTGTAAAACAGAGAAACAGTTTCTGCTTTATGTTTTTTTGTTTTTTTGTTTTTTTTTTTTTCCCAACAAAATACAGTACAGTATACTCAAGTGCTTACAATTGCTATGTCTGTTACTTTTTGTTTTCAGGATTCAGAAGTGGAGGAGAGTTCAAATCTCAATGCCCCAGCCACACCCTCCATGAGTGATGTTGACGACGGAGAAGAAGTGGTAAGCTTCAGAACCTTGCTTACATCAGCATGTGTAACTGTTATCTTATGGGAATTATATCAATAGGTAAGGTGCTTAATGCGATAAATAATATGATTGTTTTGTTCTGTACAGGACTTTGGTATCAACAGGACATTATCTGACAGGTTGGAGGGAATGAGTGCTGAGCTGCTAACTCCAGCAGCCAGTGCAACAAAGGCTGAGGTAATAACAGTCAGATCTCACCAACCTGTATGAAATAAGCTATATGTATTGTGTAGAACTTGAAATTTCTGTGAAAAGCACACTCAAAAAAGGTGACAAATTCATTTCATTTTTTTCAACCAAGAAGCGCATTTCGGTATGTCTTAAGTTCCTTATCTTCATCAGTGTTATGTCCAAGATGCCTAGCATTGCATAGGGCTTCGCTGGGTTGCTGAAAGACAGACAGACAGACAGACAGACAGACAGACAGACAAAAAGACAAACAGACAGACAGATAAAAGAACAGATGCAATAAAAAGGCACATAGACGGACATGCGGATTGATGTATGAATGGACAGATGTATGGGTGATGACAAGCAGTGACACAGTGGTTTTCAATTAATTGTGGAAAGTAATCAGGAAATTACTGTGGTTTTGGTTTTGGTTTTACGACACTCAATTGAAAACCACTCTGTCAATAGAACAACTAATGACTGATGGCGTTTGAAAACAATAGATAATGTCAAAATTAGCATGGGATTCATCTTACTCTTAATAACAAATCACCAGAGAAAAATGTGATAAATTCATTTCAACATCAAGAACAGGCCTAGGGGACTTGTGGTAACGAAGATGGTATGTTCTGTTATTAGGCCCAAACAGGAGGTGTGGCAGCCGTCAGCAGTAGTCTAAGGACAAAGGCTGGAGTTAAGAGTGACATCTTGGTTCAAGACCCAAAAACTAGGTAAACAAAGTGAAACAAGAAACACATAAGCAGGTGTTTCATTAAGGGCTGAGCACTGGGCAAATTTACAGGCTGTGAGGATGATTTTGCTTGCCTGGTTTGACCATCTGGAGGAAAGTTTTCTTGTAAAGAGGTTAAGTTCAAAAGGTTTTGCCTGCCTGTGAAAACCAGTTTCACTCCGACCTGCTGAAAACGTCAATGAAACCCCTGCATAAAACTATATCAAAATCTTTGTAGTATTACAGTCTAAACCTCCCTTATGGCCACACATGGACACCATGTTTTCGCAGATAGTTTCTTTTAGTAAATTGGTTCACCCAAGACCCTTGCCTAGTTCCTGTACAGCTTTCTCTCAGGCCCTCAAGGTCAACTGATTTTGATATCAGCTCACCACTGACAAATCACGATATTTTACTCAACCTTGTCCAATAATCGTTAATAATTGCTCTTTCAACTATCTCTTTCCAAAAGTTGTCTGTTCATACTCGTCTTCAAGTGTAAGTTTCTATTTCATCAATAGGGAGGCTGGCGGAAAAACAGACATGTCTGAAGAAGAGAGATTACAGAGGGCCAAACTTCAGGCAGAGGCGGCTGAAAGGTGAGAGTAATTTAATTATTAAATAACGAAAAGTTTGTTGCGTTAAGAAAAACACGAACACTAGCAAGGACATCACTGACTTATCGATAAAAGAGAGTCGACCTTTCACTAACTAAACAAACGCGTGGAAAATTGTATAGCTTAGACTTCTGTTGAGAGAATGGGAGATTTTTTCCAAGTAACTGGCAAACATCCGTCTCATATTTCTACCGGGCTTAACACTTGCCTTCATTTCTTTTCACAAAATCAAACCCTTAGCAGCAAACTGCAACTATTTTTGGCCTGATTGAGCCCTTTTAGCATGACAAACACTTAACGTACAATTATTCCACAAAACATTTCTCATTCAAGACCATCATCACGTTTTTGCAACTGGACAAAAATCAAATAATAGGAATATTACCGATGTTTTGTATAAACCGACAAGTTTTGCAATCTTGAAAATCGTATTTAATGTTCCATTGACGTGTTCTCATGCTCGGCGCGTAAGTTTTAAGTAAATCGAAGATGGTAAATCAATTGGAATCGTGTTTATACCGTTTAAGATATAACTTAGTTTTTCTGCATTTCATAACAGGAGGGCGTCACAGCAGAAGGAAAACGAAGTAGCGCAAGGACAAGAACAAGAAAGGTTAATATCTACTGCAAGTATTTTGGTCCCAATCTTAGTTCAGTTTTTTAGGGTGGTACGACAACACAGTCCGAGTTTCTTACTGTTTTTGGTATGTCAGTCGATGGAGGAATTTGATTTTCTACGCTTAAATCACTAAGCCAAATATGTAAACTCTTTCTTTTTGATAAGAATGTGTTTTATAAGAATATCGAGGAAGAAAGTGGCGAAATTTTAAGAAAATTTTAGGAATAAACCCGAGGCAGAGATTTTGAAAAGAATATAATTTTGTGTGTTGAAAATTTGCTGGAATACAATCCTTTACTTCTATAAACTGCAAAACTAGCCAAAACCCAACAAAAACAGCACTAGCCGTATGTTCGATGCTAATAAATTTCTGCAAGAAGTTATCTGCGTCATGTCAGGCTTTGATGCCTACAAGCTGGTTCCAAAATTACTTTATCACCATCCAGACACCAAATTTATACATTCGAAACAGACATGTCATACGCTGTAATCTAAGAACATTTACAAGAATGCCTAAAATCGACAGGAAAAAAAGAATATTCAGCCTTGGCCAGAAAAACAATGTTCTTGAAAAAAATAGAGTGTAGTGACGATCTGTTTTTCCTTTAGACTTGCAAGAGAAGCAGCGAAAGCCATCGAAGATATGAGAAAAGCCACTGAAAAAGAACTGAATGAAGCAAAACAGAAGCTACAGGAAGAGAAAGACGACGCGTTTAAGAATCTCGCAGAACAATATCAAAATGAGCAGGACAGTGAGGAAGAACGGTTAGCAAAACAACACGAGTCTGTCATGAAAACACTCGGAGAGAAAGCAAGAGAGGACGCGTTAGAAGAAGAAGCCATGCTTCAGGAAGGCAAGCAGGACGCCATGAGGAAACTTAAACAGCAGTTACAAAGAGAACAAGAACAGGAAGAAGCTGAACTCAGGAAGAAAAAGGACGAGGCTTTGAAACTGCTACGAGAAGAACTGGAGGAGCAGGAAGAACAACAGAACGACAAGATGGCGGATGAACGAGAAAAAGCCTTGCGAAAAATGCGGGAAACGTTTGCCGCCGAGATGGAAGACGAGAAAAAGAAGCTAAAAGAAGAGCAGACAGAGGCAATAGATGAGTTGAGAGAGAAACTAGAGAAAGAAAAAGAGATGGTAAGCTTGAAAAGGTTCTATTTGTTTATCAAGTATTTTTTATCGTATCGTAAGAAGGTGACACGGGCAACAACTGTAAGCCTTATGTTTTGTTAAAATTCGTTGTCTGTTATCTGTCTTTATGTTCCCCAATTTCAATCATTCTTGCTCCTATGTGGTTGATTATTGCCTTATTGGGGTTTTTATGCCTTGGGCAGCCATTATTTGGAGCTTACATTAAAAATGACACCACTTTAGTGCGCCGCAAAAGTCACCTCGGTTAAATTAGAGCGGCTTTCGCTTGAGCGTTGAAGTTAATTCGCAAGATTTTGGTTTTGCATTATTACAATAAAGGATTAGCTTAAAAAAACTCGCGCCACTTTGTAATCCAATCTGAGGTAAAAACAAAACCAATCGTGATTCGTTCCCACAGGTTTTCCCGCGCTATGTGTCTGCTACATACATGTATTTAGTTCGAGCACTGGATTTTCTGTGTCCTTTGTGATTGGTCAGAGTGATTACTTTTTATTGGTTTTGGTTTTACGAAACTCAGTTGAAAAGCGCTCTATTGTGTACAGCTCGTGCGATATGTCTGCAAAGGTTTCTTTCACATGTGCTCAAGAAATGCCAGTGTACAATTTCTTGATCTCTACTGTCTTTCCTTTCATAGGCGTTGGAGGAACTACAACAAAACAACGAGTATGAACTCCAACAATTGAAAACGGAATTAAGCGAAAAACACGAGAAGGCTTTAGAGGAACTGAAGACCGAGCTGGAAGAAGCTCAAAATAACGAGTTAGCTGCAGTCAGGAAATCTGCTGTAGAGTCTAGAACTAACTTTACCATGAGCATGGACTCACTGGATATCGAGGTAATGTAGAAAATCTCTCGCTATTTATCAACTTGAATATGATTAAGGTAACTTAACCGCTGTAGCGAGATGGTGAAGCGTTATGCTTAGCCCTTTGACGGAGCAAAGGCGACAAAGCACGTTGCTCTAATGAAGGTCTAAACGCTTGAAACCAAACGTCAGTTTCACAAAGTCGCTACTGTTGTTACTTTACCTCTATCAGCTTCTTGATAAATAGTAATAAAAACGTGTTTTGCTTGCCCGCCAATGATACTTTAATCCTTTAAATCCAACATACAAATTAGAGTTGAAGTATATGGTAAGTATCAAGGTTTCTTCGCCTTGGTTGTCTTGACCGGCTTTCATTGTAGCTGACTTCATCTTGGTTTTTTATAAGGATTTCCCGTATCCTTGCTTGTTTATGGTTTCACTGATTTCTCTATATTAAAAGGCTCAGCAAGACTTTTTAAAAAAGAAAAAGGATTTAGAGGCAAAGCATGAAGAACAGTTAGTAAGTATAATGATTATATTCTTTAGATTACAGTCACATTTATAACCATTGCCTTGAAATTGAAGCTTTATTTGTTACACATATTAGCTAAGAAAACGGGGACCTTTTGCACTCGACAATAAGGATATCGGCGGTAGAATTGGTCTCACCGTCATGGGTATTTGACCAGCCTATCGACGGTTTTTTTTTTTTCGCCCTATATCCTACTGGTCAACGTGCTCACAGGATAGTATTGGACAGTGGCAGAGGAGTACTAAGCTTGTTGTGTCCACATATGAATTAAACACGTAAAAGTGAAAAAAAGTATATATATATATATATATGAAAAGTTATGATCCCAAATAATGATTGTCCCATTACCCAAAGCTCTGATGACAATGATCTAGCCTACTCAGTCAAACTCTCCTTATATTTTACAAGAACGTATAGTTAGAAGTTAAGAGCCGAGGTTGAACTTTCTTAATTTTTTGATAATTCAAGCCAGAACATTTTTTGTTTCAAATGTTCACATCTTTGTCAAAGTTTTTGCAGTCGAAAACTCCTCTTTTTCATATGTTTGCAGGAATCGTTGCAGAATGAGCACGAGAAGAAAATTTACAAAATAAAACAGGATTGGAAAGAACAGGTAAAATAATGCACCGCATAAATAAATNAAAGCTGAACACCTCCAAACGCGAGCTACAGCGTGACATAAGGTTCGTGACATAAGATTGCGTGACCAAGCTGTTTAACATTCTCTACTTTGCCTTTACTCATCAGTATGTATTTTCATCTTTTATTTTAAAAGCTACCTAATCCTTGCATGTCGTCCTAATACCTTACTACATGTATTATTACTCAATAGCAATCTAACCAAAAATCTCAAAGAACTGAAAGAGAGTTGTCGACAACAGAACGAAGAATTGCAGGATATTTTAATTCAACGGGAGAGAGTCCAAGAAGAAACTATCACGAACGGCGAACATGAAGACACCTTGGTAAATGACAGTGGCCTAGAAAAACCCGCGGCTTCCACACCAAGCAAGGTCAAAGGCGCCAAGAAAAGTGCCAAAAAAGAGGAGGTTGATTTGGGTTCTGAAGATGAGGCCCTACATGTAGAGGACCTGGAACCTCCTGGTGTAGCTGCTTCTAAGGTATATTTCATTGGCAGTGGTGTTTAGGCCGCCCCGTCCGCCCTTCGCCGGAGGAATTTCAAAACGGAAATTTACAAATACCCTAAGTACTTAGAGAGAGACATAACCTCAGTCATAACTTTTTCATGGACATTGCCNTATGCTCACAAAGCTATGGAAACTTTACCCCGTCCAAAAGTTAGGAAATATGGCACTGGCAATACAGCACTCTGTTTGGACCAGCAATAGCGCATTTTGATTGGACTAGCAATAGCACATTCTGATTGGACGGGCAATAGCGCATTCCAATTGGCTATCGTCAGCTGGCTTAGTCATGTAACAAACTGACAAGACAAATCTAACAAAACTTAGTTGATCGTCATGTCAAAACAAACTGTAACACCGCCGTTTTGTGCTTGTGGCCTTAATGTTTTTCTCATTATGCTGGTGCAACATGGCTGGGAAAAACTGGTCAAACGCGAACCTTGAGTGCAACTTTCCTTTTTTAACTGTATTTAATAGCTCTGAGTTTCCTTTTCAGTGACTTGAAGAAGCGAATTGCTGTAGAAGGAGACGCAATAACACGAGCTAAAGAATTCCTACGACGACAAAGACGTTCAGTACAGAGAAGACAAGTAAGCTTGTTAGTTTTGAGCTGCATTTTCCTAGCACAGATTATTACAGCAGTTCCCTGGAGCATTTTAGAACAATTCTGAGTTCCGCTTTGAACAGTTCGTTGCCAAAGCGTACTTCAATTCCCTTGTGTGTTTTAATCACCTAGCTTTACGTTTGTGGAGAACTGGAGAAATAACAGCTCGGCTCACGAGATTTCAGAACTGCTACCGGCCAGAAAAAAAAGCATTGATGGAGAGAAATTGCTTTTCAAGTAATATATCAAACACGAAAGACCGTGTTTGACCACATTTCCACACACCGAGAAGAGAGTTGAAAATACGACGCGCAGCGGAGTATTTTTGACGAACTTCGAGGTGTTTGGAAATGTGGTCAAACACTGTATTGAGTGTTTGATATATCTTCTCAATCGACACTAAAACTAAGGAGAAAACGGAGAAATAAAATCGTTAAAACCTATGCTAATCAAGATCAAATACCCAAACACCGTCACGGTCATGATATCCTTTGTTTAAACTTAATGAATTATTAATGAGTTTGAGAAATTCAGGGAAAAATCAGGGAAATTTATTGATTTTTTGTTAGTCCGGACAAGGCAGGGGATTTTCTTTCACTACAGGAAAATTCTGCATTTTGGTATAGAAGAATTCAAGTGGCAATTAAAAGCCGAAGTTAGGATAATTTGTCGGTTTAACTTTTCTTGCCAGGCAGCCCTAGAAGATGCTCGGAAGGAATGGACAAATGATATGTCACAAAACTTTGCAAGAGGAAAGGTATGTTCCAACAGACGGTGTAGTGTATAGACACTGCAACGGTAAAGCAGCGCTAGACTTGATGAAGTAACCTATGAACGTTTTGCAAGTGGTACAGTAAATCACCGAAACGATTCAAAGTGTCTGTTCGTATGATAATAAGTATCCCATCTCAAAAGATGAAATGCGGTAACCGCGTGGTAGTAACTTTACTGTAATATATTTTTATAGACTTTCATTGTGGTTGCAAAACGAGTTTCATGTAAGCCTCATCCAAGTATCTTCCTTCCTTATCTTGCAGCCGCTGTCCAGTCGTAACGCTCATTTCTTGGAAGATGTGAGAACACGTTTAGACGAGGTCAGTGATATAAGATGAGATCTCTGCTGTTATACAGTGTAACGAGTGCACGACAAACGATAAAAACGTCAGTTTTTTGAAGGCAGTGTGCTGTACGGTTGTGTTCTTGGGCAGGCTTCTTGCTCAAGTGGTCAGTGTTGAGAGGTCAAAGAGATTTGGTATAGTTCGTCCCACAAGCTGCCAAGTTTAAGCGCAGTCTTGTTTTGTAGATGCATGAAGCAATTCAAAGTAGTGGAATTTAACAGCAATGTATTGAATATTTTTTGTTCGAACCGGGTTTGAAAACTCAACATTTTACAAAGAGTTTGTTAGCTCATTAGCGCTTTTGCCACCCAGAAATTTTTCAGATTTTTAAAGCCAACTTCTTCTTGAATATTACAGCCAAATAGCTGAAATTTTCACCAATTACTAAGTTTCACAAGCTCTCGAAATATTTGTAGTCAACTCTTGTCTAGCGCGATGCCTTCTCTGCGCAAAGTCGTACGTCAATGACAGAAAATGTAAACAAAGATCCGCCTAAAGGATGTAACCTTATTTTGTCTTGTTCTGTTGTTGTTTTGTGTATTGTAGGAAGAGGCGGAACTCGGAGTGGTAATGGATAACATGAGCGCTGGCCAAGAATTGTTGAGACNACGAGGTCAGTGATATAAGATGAGATCTCTGCTGTTATACAGTGTAACGAGTGCACGACAAAGGATAAAAACGTCAGTTTTTTGAAGGCAGTGTGCTGTACGGTTGTGTTCTTGGGCAGGATTCTTGCTCAAGTGGTCAGTGTTGAGAGGTCAAAGGGATTTGGTATAGTTCGTCCCACAAGCTGCCAAGTTTAAGCGTAGCCGTGTTTTGTAGATGCATGGAGCAATTCAAAGTAGTGGAATTTAACAGCGATGTATTGAATATTTTTTGTTCGAACCGGGTTTGAAAACTCAAAATTTTACAAAGAATGTATTAGCTCATTAGCGCTTTTGCACCCAGAAATTTTTCAGATTTTTAAAGCCAACTTCTTCTTGAATATTACAGCCAAATAGCTGAAAATTTCACCAATTACTAAGTTTCACAAGCTCTCGAAATATTTGTAGTCAACTCTTGTCTAGCGCGATGCCTTCTCTGCGCCAAGTCGTACGTCAATGACAGAAAATGTAAACAAAGATTCGCCTGAAGGATGTAACCTTATTTTGTCTTGTTCTGTTGTTGTTTTGGGTATTGTAGGAAGAGGCGGAACTCGGAGTGGTAATGGATAACATGAGCGCTGGCCAAGAATTGTTGAGACAGAAAGAGGACAGGCTGAAAGTTTTGGAGAACGCTTTGCTCGGGGGACTGGTGAGTTGTCGCGGATATTGTCTTAGTGCAACTGTTAGGTACCAGAACTATCGTTAAAAGAAACGTGTAACAGCTACTTAAGATAACTGAAGATTCTCTCGTCCAACTTCTAACTTTTTGTCCATAAGTAGTCAACGTGCGATTCAGTTAAGAAATAGAAAACATGTTTCGTGTTTCTATCGCGTTTTAGTATAAATCTATTAGCGAATGCCGTTCTTTGATTGGTCACGCTACTCACTATCTATTCTGTGTAGCGGAGCAGTGAGCCCTTGTTAACAAAATGGCGTTTCCGAAGTGTCTGTGAAGAGGATTTCGATAAAGTTTGAACGACTAGTAGATTTATACTAAAACAATTAGATTATTCGCTCTGGATTTCTATGCGTGATAGTTGACTCGAGCTGCGCCCTCGTCAACTACCACGCGATAGAAATCTCGAGCTCATAGTCTAATTGTTTATTAGAAAAATCAGCGTGCGTATTTTCATTGGGTTGATATCTAAATATGTATAAAAACCAAGAATTAAACCTCAAGGTCTGAATTTTCTTTCCGTCCATTAGTCAACTGCATCCGACTCAGAGGACACCTTTCTTAGAAACGACAGACATGCTCGTCCGTCACGCTCGTCCGACAGGCACCGCCCACGAAAAACGCCGCGTAAGACGGTTGATGACGACGACAGCAGCGGAATCAGCAGCAGCGATTATGGTGACGTCATCAGCGGAAACGTCAGAAGAAGTGACGTCAAAACGGGGAGGCAGCCGAAGGTGGCCATTCCCAAGAGTTTGAGGAAACCTACCACTGGCGAAGAAAGTTCGGAAGCAGTTCAATATTCACTGCAACAGATCAACACGGATTTAGCGCGAATTTTGACGTTACTACGGACAAGGCCGCCTGCGTTCACGTACCCAACCGTCACGCAGCCGATTCCGGATGCTCTCAGAGGTTCTCGTGTCACGCCTGTTTATCCTGAAGCAAGTCATAGCAGTCAGGGTCAGTTTGCTTATCAGCCTGGTCCTCTGGCACAACCTTATCAGTTGAGAGGTGCTGGGGTGCCTGTGGTACCGGCTGGTACATCTTCGTTACCCGGTCACCAAGTGCAAACTCAAAGTTTGTAAGTTTTGTTTAATATAATTGCGTGTACTTGTTCTTATTTTTAACTGTTCCCGACGACTGGAGAGAGATCAATCCATGCATTGCTGGATCAGAATTGGGCAATCTTTAATGTTTACATTGGCGGTCTTCGATGTCCTCAATAGTATATTTATCGAAATTTTCCACTTAAGTCAAGAGTCCATGAGATCATGGTCTCTTGGCTAGGTCAATTTGATAGGATCATGCCAGGCACATTGAACAAGTGACTTTTGAAAGAATGAATATGACAAGAGTTGTCGCATGCACAGCAGTTCAGTGGTATCTATTAAACTTTCAATGCTGCGGAAATGTCCCAATCATTGATTTCTTCTATTTGTCTATTGCAGCAATCCTCTGAGCAGTGTCCCACCTCACCTCCAGGCTTCGTACAGAAACCAAGAGAGCACAGAATCACAACTGGAAAGAAAGTGGAGATCATATTTTGGAGGTACAGAACGTATGACCCTCAAACAAGGATCATTCGGTAATAACACAAGGAAAATTTTCATTTCATACGGTAGTAACACAAGGAAAATTTTTTGGCAACTTGCAAGTTACAAGGCAAAGGTTGCGTCCAACATTACAAAGAAGTAATGCATATCGAAGGCTACTGTCACTTTTCCTGAAAATTGTTTTTCCACTTTCAGATCAATTACGTGACACACCAGCCTCGCTTTCACTCGGACCTACGATGAGCCTACCGGCGGCAAGGTAAACAAAATAAAAGCGTGTTTATTCTATGCTAATTCTGGTACTGAAATTATTTAATTTCTACCAGGGAGCCGCCAAGCTTAAGGAACTGGACCTCAGAGAGAGAATTAAGTACCGCTGAGCGATTGCAGTCTCACGCGGAATGGCTTCGAAATTTTCGACGCGACGCGGGTCTGCAGGTGAACAATTCGAGGGGACTGGAGGAGAGAGCGATGTCGTATCCTTTCTTTGTGCACAAGTAACATGTTTATTTGATTCGGGTGT